AAGAGAAAAAACGAATTCCTGTTACTTCCTAGCCCACCTCACAGTTACAAAACCTATGGCTGCTACATTATTTTATGAAAAAACTGTCAAGCCTCTGTCTCTTAGGGCTATATTGTAGATTTTAGGTTTCCTTAGTTCTGGAAAGTAAGAAGACTCACTACTTTTCATGTTAAATTAATTACTGCTACACACAAAAGGAGAGAACTGAATTTACTTTGGAAACTGCAAGCCAGCCAATGATGGACACAAGGCATGGAACCCATGGAATTCAAGGTTGTTTATCAAAATATCCTTGTGGCCTTGACAGCAAGAAAGCAACAATGATAAATGAAATTAAGAGAGAAATAAGACCAAAAAGTTCATATTAGAATTGTGTCTCATTCCTAAAGGGTATATAAATAAATGCTGAAGCACTGCCATCTGTTTATATCCTATCCTTTTTAAAAGCTGGGGGGATGGTGGTGCTGGTGCTTGTTTTATATTTTTTATATTAAATTCACCTACTTCCACATCTGCCAGGTTCACTGACTGTAATAGAGCCTTTGTTCTGTCTCACCAAACACAAGATGTGAATTGATACATTCTCCCCCATACACACAGACAGATAAATCTTCCCAGGAAAGCATCTCAGAAATCCCAAAAAATCTTCAAGTTACTCTGACATATTAAAACAATATGTTTTGTGAAAGGTAGGTCATCAACCCTGACCCTAACAGTTTTAGTGGGAAAAAAAGCATTCATTTGTCAAGGGAGCGTTTTATTTCTAAACAGAGAAGGACATTCCTGTTAAACACTTTTTACATCTGAAAGGTTAGCAGAAATGGCACCACAGAACATGGAAACATCTTGATTCCCTATCCTTCTTAGACACCTTTCTGTTTCCCATTCCTACCAGGTATCCCATCCAGCAAAACACCACCTTCAAGTCTGTAAAATGAGAGCCAGAAATATTCATTCATCAGTTTCCTAGACAATTTCTTTCCCACACGTACACAATTCCTTTCACAGGATCTACTTATTCAACAAGACATAACACAGCACATGCTCTGTTCTACTCCACAGCACTCTCTTTGCAAAAGCAGTTTTAACTGATATCAAATTTTGCTTCTTGTAATACCCATAGGTCTGGATAGCAGCATAAAGGGTCTGCTGTCACCATCACAGCCCCATTTCTTTCTATCTCCTTTCCCAAACAAACAAGATCACAAAAAAGGCTTGTTATTATTATAATAAATACATATATTTCAGCTAAACCTTAATTTACTCATGTGTAGGGAGTCTGGCTAGGTGCACCAGGATTTCTTCGGTGCAATGACTGGGACATAATTATAAGTCTGTAAATTTAAAGCAGATGTGAAGAAAAAAAATCCATCATGTGCCTTTTTTAAAAGCAAAACACAAAAAACCAACAGGTATCAGAACTTCAACATATCACTTATATCACATATATCACTTCCTAGGGATAAAATGATTAAAATAACTCTGTCTCTTCTAATTATGTAGAAGATTGAAGACCTGTGGATGTTAATTTTCTTCCACTGTATGATTAAAGAGTTTATAGGCTTATTTTAGAGTATAAAGTCAGTAAATACTATGTGTTTTTACCCATGGCTATTGTTCTCTTCCCTACAGGTAGCATGCAACCAACAACCCACTTCCTAATAGCAGAAATAAAATGTTAAAAGCACTAAAGATTTTCAGAAGCCCAGAAGTGCCTAGAAGCTCTAGTGAACCCATGCAGACAGACAGCCTAAAGTCACCATGGGCAACATCACACTGCAAGGCAAAGCATGCTCCAGCTACAGAAATTCCATCATAATCTCACCCTGACAACAACGCTGGCATATTGACATAGCCCACGTGCTACAAAACACCACTATTTCTAAATCAGCACTGGATTTTCTAGGATCTCCTGCTCTACCACTGCATGCCAGAATTAAACTCTTGGCTTAAACAGGCAGCAATGGACAGAACCCTCCTCACCTCACTGGCTGCCCTGTTGCAGCAGGGTGGCCAGCAAGGGTCAAGAACCCATACTCTGGGTTTAGCTCTAGTAAAGTTCTATTATTTAAAAAGCCACATGCATCCCTTCACACTTACATTTCTGACCAAACCATACTCAGCTAAAACAAGCCAGACCCTTCAAATACAACACAATTCTCCAGTGGTTTAGCCAGGTAAGAGCTGTAACAAAATTCTCACCCTAGAGAGGTTTTCAGGGGAACAGGCTTGAAAAGAGGGAGGGGTGAGGGGATGAGAGATAACAATGGGAGAGTATCCTGCTTCACAAAGTAAGAAATAGGGGCAAGGAACTCAAGCACTGGTCACAATAGCATGGTGAACTATTTCTATTCATACAGCAGCAGGCAACTGCTACCAGGAACTGACAAAATGGTAGATTCAAAGAAAGAAAAAAAAAAAAAAAAAAAAAAAAAAAAAAAAAAAAAAAAAAAAAAAAAAAAAAAAAAAAAAAGATAAAAAAAAGGAAAGAAAACAAGTAAGAAACCCACTAAATGCTAAAGACCCCTCAAAGAAACAGCCGGGGTTTCTCTCATCAGCAATATTTGCAATTTAGTAAAAGGGAATAGGCCACATAAATACCAAACCTGCCTTTTTTGCTAATCAGGCTATTAGCCACATATTACAGATGAAAAGTTACGTGAATGGAATCTCAAAAAAGCTCATGACAGGATCAAATAGAATGCTAAAAATTATGAACAACGTGATGCTTTAATACAGTCTAGAGAGCATGCTTTCTTTAGTTCAGGCTTCTGCTAACATCCCAGCAGTGATTTAAATACAGTTGAATTGGTTTCCCAGAAGTGACAGAAGTTCAAATTATATCAAAGATTTGATAAACTCACATTTAATTCAGCAGATCCCAACCTTTTTCTAGCTGCAGCCTGATGGATTCAGACAATTACAAATTTCTGGATGATACAGTAGGTGTAGACTTGACTGCTCTGGGAACTGCTGTTCTGTGATAAAGTTCTGAACTGTGCTTCCAGAACTGAACTACATTCAATACAGCTGTTAACTAAATAATCACTGCTTTCATTACTGAAAAAATCCCCTATTTTACTACCAACTCTAGTCACAGCAGGACGGGCAAGGTGGTGATTTCTCTCTTCTTATTCTATTTGGAATGGCTCTAAGGGTGCTGACTCATAACTGACCCCGAATTGGGGCACACATCCGAGCTGCTGCAGTTTCCAACACAAACTCCGGTACCGTGTCAGGCTGTAGCTCAGGAGGAGATGTGTGTGCAGCCACCTACGGCTACAGACGCAATAATCTCAGGGAGCAAAGGAGGGCAGGCAGCTGGTGCAGGTTATTGCTGCAGACATCCTTGCCCAGTTGGCCATTGTTTGAGAATCACAACCCCACAAACAAACCAGACAACTTTCTGCGGTTACAACTTGTTGGATCTGAGGTAAAACACAATCCAGCTACAACCACCCTGCATATTTGAGCATGGCCCCCAGAATGTGCTGGGACAAAATGTAAAACACTTGTTCTTCAGAACAATTCTGGTTTTATCCATTTGCTTTCCATTCTCTCTGCTTGTGTATTGCTTCTCACCACCACCAGCACCTCCATAGGTGTTTCTTTACATCTTTGCATCTCCCAGTCTCTCCCATTTCCACCGGGGCTTCCCTTTAAACCGTTTCACACTGTATCAGCACAAACCATAACATGAAACTTCCAGAGCGCACGTAACATTCCAGGTTAAATAAATTGTGTGCTTCGTAAGTAACCTCCAGAGCTCGCACTACAAACCAGACGGATGTGGAAGGGCAGCAACTCCTGACACAGGCTTCAGGATGGCAGCAGACTCCGAAACAAAGCACCGTGTCAGCTGACAGCGGCTCATAGTAGATACAATAAAATACGCGAAACTGACCAGGCAGCGCTCACAGAGAAAACATAAAAAACCCAGCACCGCAGCAAGGTCTGGGCAGGACGACAGCGCTCAGCATTACCTCGGATGAGGTGACTGAGATAACAAAAGCGTGCGCTTCCCAAGGACAGGCTGACTGAGGAGGGGCGGAAAAGCACGGCCGGGAAGGCGAATGGGCAGAGCAGGAACGACCGCCCGCGAGAAGCACGACCGAACCCCGCCCGGCAGGACGCGGGCCCGCGGGGCGATGCAGCCGGCCCGCCGCGCTCCCGGGGCCGGGCCGGGGCCACCCCGTCCCGGGCGCTGACAGCGTGCGGGGCCCGGCGGG